TTAGAGTTATTACAAAAAAGAGTTCATTAAAACTATATTTTCTTTTTTAGCAGCAGCTGCAGTTTGCTTGTTCTTACTGAGAACAAATGTAAAGTTATCTAATTGCAAATATATATCTTGTTTCTGTGTTAAGTAAAAGTATAATTAATACAACAAAATGCTCTTCCTTTTGGGTTTGCTGTTCAACCATTGAGAAGTTTAATTCTCTATCCTTGCAAAAAAGGTAGTACTTCTACTAAAAACATGCAGCTAGGGAAGATAAAAATTGAGGCTCACTTTGTGTCAACAGTTGGGCAAACTGTTATGCTGAAATTTTCGTGAGTATGAAAGAGTGAAATAATTATGCATAAAGAATCTTCAAGCTCATTTTGCTTAGTTTAGAGATCTACTTATCAGATGTTATGTCAAAATCATATTCTGGTTGCACATGACTAAGTGCAAATCACGAGCTCTCATAGTTCTTGAGTATTTTGTGCCTTTTGTGTACAAATAATTAATGAGACACAGATCATTTCTGCAGAAGTTTTATTGTGTTCCCCTTTATTAAGCAGAAACATAGGTTAACTTTTTTTTTTTTTTTTAGAAAGAATTTACTGACTTGCAGCATGGTATAATCCTTGAAGTAAAAATCACATTGCTCCACAGAAGCTCCTTGGGCTGTTTAATTCCAAGTTTGGGATCCTGTTTATCAAAAGGAAACAAACTGAAGAGAGCCTTTTGATAACACTTCTATAGCAGCATTTCTGGGTGGTAAAACAGATAGAAACTTCCTTTGTAATGCACATAAATTTAGTATAAAGAACATTTTGGTGGAAGGAACTGTTTTCCCGGGTTGTTTCTTTTTTGCAAGTTGAACTGGGTAGGTCTAGAACAGGTGAAATATATGGCATGGGAGCAACAGCTTGGCAGAAGACATAGCATACCATAAAACATTGGAGAAGAAGGCCTTAACTTACAGTGAACAGGACTTAATCTTTTGCCCTTTGAGATGACAAACAGAGTAGATTTGCCTTTGTAATTCTCTCTCCTTCAGAAGATGAAATACAGCTTGCCAGAGCAAGGTTTGCAAAAGGAAGTTAAGAAACAAAGCTGCAGGTACTAGGAGGGAAAAAAAGTCCTTCCAAATTAATTGCTTAAGACTACAGCTGCTGCCCTTAATCTTTGCCCATTAATTTTGAGTCTAAAGGCTGATTTAATAGGTACATTGCAGTAGGTGAATCTTCTTTCCAACACCCAGACTCCAAAAAGAAAAACATTGCAGAAAACAGAAGTTTCAGAAAGAATGTAGTGGAAGTGGAGAGGATTTAGGGAGCTTGGATGGTTCTTTCTGTGTAGTTAAACAGAACTGAGTTATTCTGGAGGTTCTGCCTGTTCTTGTTTTGGGGGTTAATTAATATGCAGTAGACACAAAACGTCTGGAGGAGGGGAAAGATGCAGATACTTGTCATCTATGTGACATTATAATAACAGCTAAGGCTTATTATTCTGGAGCTTTAAAGCAGAAATGCTTCACTTCAGGCATTGTTCAGTGTCTCTATCAGCAGTAATACAGTTTACTTTTTCATAAAGCTTTTCACTTTGGGGTGTGGGTTTTTTTTCTTTTTCTTTTCTTTTCTTTTCTTTTTTCTTTTCTTTTCTTTTCTTTTCTTTTCTTTTCTTTTCTCTTTTCTTTTCTTTTCTTTTTTCTTTTCTTTTCTTTTTTCTTTTCTTTTCTTTTCTTTTCTTTTCTTTTCTTTTCTTTTCTTTTCTTTTCTTTTCTTTTCTTTTCTTTTCTTTTCTTTTCTTTTCTTTTCTTTTTTTGGTCTTAACAACTTGAAGAGAAGATCTTGTGGTCTGGCAGCATTATCCAGGTCATGGACAGTAGTAGTGATACGTCTCCACGGTGCAACTAGAATTCAGAAAGCTATTTAGTTTGCTGGGAAAGGTATTGAGCGATGGTCAGTTTGTGACAGGATGGGAGTGCATCAGATTCAAGCAATGCAAAGATGATAGCATTACTAATTTAGTAATTCAGAGGAAATTGTTTTGAAGACAAACATAGTATTTTACTACTTTCCTCTGCCCAAGAACAGAAGAGGACAAATACGTGTGCCCAACACAGTGACATATCTAGTAGCATTGCTCTAAATCTACCGTATGATTCTCTTAACTGCTTCTGTCCAGATACATCACAGTACCCAGTACCACAGTACCCAGCTCTCCTTACTTGGTCGTTAAGCAGGAGATTAAAGGACTGCATAGAAATGCTGCTTGCGCATGTGTCTGCTTTGGGCTGGGGTCTGTCAG